TACAAAAAGAAAAAAGAAGATAGATTCAGGTGGATAGCCGTGTTGGTCTGAAGCAACAGAGTCAGTGTTCGAGTTCATTGGCACTTTTAAGACCAACAAAGTTTTATTAAAGGAATAAGCTTATACCTTGAATAAAAACAGTTCTCTCATAATGTTGTCGAGGGCTTTCACGGACGGAGTTCATTAGTTGTTGTAGATTTTTAGGGCTGTATGGCCGTGGTCTTGGCATTGTAGTACTTGACGTTTCGCCAGCAGCTGTGACTGGAGGATGCCAGTCACAGCTGCTGGCGAAACATCAGGTACTACAATGCCAAGACCATGACCATACAGCCTGAAAAATCCACAACAACTAAAGTTCTCTTAGAACTCTCTCAGCCCCACCTACCCCACCCAGTGCCTGTTGTGGGGAGGGGACTGTAAGCCTCTTTGAGACTCCTTAAGGTAGAGAAAAGGGGGGGGAGGGGGGTATAAAAACCTATTCTGCTTTTTCTAGAAAAAACGAAGTGAATTCAGGCACTTCCACCACCTCTTACCCTTCCCGCCCTATCCACACAATTAGTCCCATATTTGTTGCAAATCCTCTATTTAGGCAGTTTGCAAAGTGACCTGGTGCGGCCTTGGGGACTGGTACCATGCTGGAAATGAGTCTTTACTTCTGCAAATGCCTGCAACATCAGTGTGCAACCCTAACTCTCAAATTGGCTAACAGCTACAGCCTTTACAGGAAGACCATCATCCACACATCCTGCTACTGTGCGGTTTAGATGTGAGCTGAAGAATTTCCTGAGAAACAGCCAGCCTAAAAAGCCTTTCGCCCTGGGCTTCAACAGGAAGTTGCAAGCACCTCTGCCCATGCTGCTCTATCTGTAGCTCTAACCCAGGTGGTGTTAGCACTGCAGCCCCCCCCCACACATCTTAATCAACCTCCAATCCCAGCCCAACTGTGTGTGGTGGGGAGAGACTGTTATTTCTTGACCTTTGCCTGAGTCTCATAAGGATACCTTGGACTTTTGGGGCTTACTTTATAGGGTTACCCTCACCTCATCCTAGTACATAGCTTCCCCTAGGGAAGAAAAGGTTGAAGCCACCCAGTTTAAAGAATCAACATACCTATGGGTTACATGAGTGGGTAATGTGGCATGCTATGAAATTGCTGATGAACTCTGCTGCTATTTGAGGATTTCTCGTTTCTCTGTGAGGGTAATATGGTGGACTGCTGTGTCAAAATGGTCTGTTCTATGTGTGTGTGTGGGGGGGACTGGAAGGGGCAACCGTTTATGAGGGTCACTGTAAGCTGGCTCTGTTGATGGGGGGTAGCATGTACCCTTGCTAGATTACAGAACTCTTGGGATGGGGGAGTCTGTTCCATTGAGCTTCTGGGGAGGGCTGAATGGCTTGTCTACATTATAGTTGCTGTGGTGGTAGGCACAGATTGGCTCCGTAGGGCTGGGGAAATCTGTTCCATGCAGTTCCCTGAAAGTGTATGAACCTCAATAATCTATTTCAAGAGCCACGTGACCATGTTACTGCAGCAGCTGTGAAAGAATCTAGCCTGTGGAATTAGGGACTGTTTCTTATGGAGCTCTTATGTCTAACTTGATCTCAGAAGCTAAGCAGGGTCAACCCCAGTTAGTACTTGGATGTGAGACCACCAAGGAAGTCCAGGGTCACAATGCAGAAGCAGGCAGTAGCAAAGCACCTCTGAATGTCTCTTGCCTTGAAAACCCTACAGGTTGCCACGAATCAGCTATGACTTGATGGCACATTCCACCACCAGTTGACAAAGGACTTTTATGCTGTTTTCTGCAGGCTGGATCTATTATGGAGACCCAATGTACAGTAATCTTTGTCAGAGTAGGCAGATCTGGGTTCATATCCCAAACATCTATGAAACTCAATGGCTGCCCACGGGACACTCATACACAATTTAGTTCTTTTTTCTCCCAGCAGTCTTCCAGGAAACTCATGGAAACATATATAGTTCCCCCTTTATCCTCACATCCGGGTGCCGCATGACGGAGTGAGCTCCCGTCTCTAGTTCCAGCTCCTGCCAGCCTAGCAGTTCGAAAGCAAGAAATTGCAAGTAGATAAATAGGTACCGCTTCGGTGGGAAGGTAACAGCGTTCCGTGCGCCTGGGTGTTTAGTCATGCCAGCCACATGACCACGGAAATGTCTTCGGACAGCGCTGGCTCTTCGGCTTTGAAACGGAGATGAGCACCGCAACCCTAGAATCGGATTTGACTGGCTTTCGAGCAAGGGAACCTTTACCTTTACCTTTTTTATCCTCACAACAGCCCTACAAAGTAGGCTGAGTATGTTTCAGTGGTCCAAGGTCACCCTGTGAGCTTCATGTCAGAGTACACATTTGAACTCAGGCTTCCTAGAGTCTATGCTGGCACTCCTAACTGCTACACCACACTAGCGCTTTTGCTCACTCTGCCTAATCTGCCTCACAGGGCTGTTGTTGAGGGTAAAATGGAGGATGGGAGATCCACCTACGCTGCCCTGAGTTCTTTGAAATAAAGGTGGTGTTTAAAAAACACACAGGGTTACCAGATGTCCTCTTTTTTTGGAGGACATGTACTCTTTTTTTGGTGTCCGTCCTCTTGTGGGCTTTTTTTAAAAAAAAACTGATGGGAATGGCTTCTTTTGGGGTTGGATTCGGGAAGGTTATTAATATTCCTAGTTAGTAGGATCTCAGCTTAAAGAGTAGGGGTATTTAAAATGAGATCTGTCACATAGTCAGTCGGGAAATACGTCCTCTTTTTTTGCTTTTCAAAATATGGTAACCTTACGTAACATGGAACTCCACCTCAGCTTTTCAGGTCAATCCAACCTATTAATAGTGGAAAGGAGTAAGAGTCCAAAGACCACCTTAAAGAGTTAATAAAACTTGTGGTAGGGTAAGCCAGGGGTGGCCAAACTGTGGCTCGGGAGCTATATGTGGCTCTTTCACACGTATTGTGCGGCTCCCGGCAGGGCGGCTGGGGAAGCTAAATATCACTAGCAAACAAATATCATTGGACAAATAAATATCATTACCAATATCTTCTCTTACCGCTTTTGATATTATTTTTGACAGTCTCGCTTAATGTCAATAAAAAGCAAATCTGCATATTTCCCAGTTAAAAACGTGAAATATCTGTTCATGTCTTGCGGCTCTCAAACATCTGACATTTATTCCATGTGGCTCTTAAGTTAAGCAAGTTTGGCCACCCCCTGGTATGCGCTCTCCTGACTCACTGCTCACTTCTTCAGAGATCCCACTCTTTCCTACTGCGGACAGACAGACCAATACCCCTGACCAATGCTCCCTCTAAGCTGTGGAGTCTTGTGAGCAAAAATTATTCTTTGTGAGCTACTGGCATTAAAGTTGTGAGCCAGCAATTTGGCTACTGCATGAATCAGTCTGCCCTGGAGCCATCCTTCCCGAGCTGAGACAAAAATCTCTCAGCTGGAGGCTAAAAAAACTGTGGGCTAGCTCACACCAACTCAACTTAGAGGGAACACTGATTGGCGACCCGTTTTCATCCAACCTATGCACAGTACCTGGTCTTTGACCTGGGGGGGGGGATTATCTGGGAATCGTGGCAGAAAAAGCTCTGAGGGGGAGGGACCCTGAGGGGTCCTTTTATGGATCAAAAACTGGCTAATTAATAGAAAACAGAGAGTGAGTATAAATGGGCAGTTCTCCCAGTGGAGGGGTGTAAGCAGTGGGGTACCACAGGGATCAGTACTTGGTCCACTGCTTTTTAACTTGTTCATTAATGATTTGGAGTTGGGAGTAAGCAGTGAAGTGGCTAAATTTGCGGATGATACGAAGTTGTTCAGGGTGGTGAAAACCAGTGAGGATTGTGAGGCACTCCAAAGGGATCTGTCAAAGTTGGGCGAGTGGGCGTCAACATGGCAAATGGGGTTCAATGTGGCCAAGTGCAAGGTGATGCACATTGGAGCCAAAAATCCTAACTATAAATACACGTTGATGGGGTCTGAACTGGCAGAGACAGATCAAGAGAGAGATCTTGGAGTTGTAGTAGATAACTCACTGAAAATGTCGAGACAGTGTGTGACTGCAATAAAGAAGGCCAATGCTATGCTGGGGATTATTAGGAAGGGTATTGTAAACAGATCAGCCAATATCATAATGCCGCTATATAAATCAATGGTGCGACCTCATCTGGAATACTGTGTGCAATTCTGGTCACCACACCTTAAAAAGGATATTATAGCTTTGGAAAAAGTGCAGAAAAGAGCAACTCGAATGATAAAAGGGTTGGAACACTTTCCCTATGAGGAACGGTTAAGGCGCTTAGGGCTCTTTAGCTTGGAGAAACGACGACTGAGGGGTGACATGATTGAGGTTTATAAGATTATGCATGGGAAAGAGCAGGTAGAGAAAGAGGTACTTTTCTCCCTTTCTCACAATACAAGAACCCGTGGGCACTCCATGAAATTGCTGAGCGGTCGGGTTAGAACGGATAAAAGGAAGTACTTCTTCACCCAAAGAGTGATTAACACTTGGAATTCACTGCCACAGGAAGTGGTGGCAGCTACAAGCATGGACGGCTTCAAAAGGGAATTAGATAAGCATATGGAGCAGAGGTCCATCAGTGGCTATTAGCCACAAGGTATAGATAGGGACTCTGGGGCAAGTGATGCTCTGTCATCTTGGTGCTTGGGGGGGGTCAACAGTGGGAGGGCTTCTAATGTCCTGGCCCCACTGGTGGACCTCCTGATGGCACTGGTATTTCTGGCCACTGTGGGATACAGAGTGTTGGACTGGATGGGCCTTTGGCCTGATCCAACATTGGCATCTCTTATGTTCTTATGTTCTTATGTTCTTATGAAAGGTGTGGGAAACCGTTCTAGAAGCTTCTGAAGGTCCCCCAGGGCTGAAACCGAAGGCATCCCTTTGGGAAGGGGGGGGGGCGCGAGCTCTGATTGGCTGAGGGCGGCGATAAAGAGGGGATGCCGCCGCCGCCCCGCCCCCCCGACTCACCTCCGGGAAAGCGCCCTTCGCGTAGACCAGGAGCAGCGACGTTTTCCCGCAGCCCCCGTCGCCCACGACCACCACCTTCAGCTCTTCCCTCTTCTTCTTCTTCCCCTCAGGAGGCGCAGCAGCCGGGCGAGCTTCTTCCTCGGCGCCCGGAGATGCTGCCGGGGCTGTCCCGTTGGCCACGGCCATGAGGAGAGGGAGAGAGAAAGAGAGAGCCCTTTTTCCTCCCCTCAGCGACAAAGCGCGGGAAAGACCGTCAGAAGCGCTGAGGCGAAGCGCGATGGGGCGGGGAGCGGCGGCCCAAGGCCGGCTTCCCCTCTGCCCTTCGCGCCGGCGATGTGTTGTTATCTCTGGCGGCTCTGGGCGCTCCCCGGGCCCGCCCGTCCTCTCGTGGGGCCGGCACAGCCCTTTCTGAGGCGGCGAGGCGCCCTCCCCCGTCGAGGTTTCGCTCGTGGGGGTGGGAGGTGGGCGGCCTCTTCCTCTCCGCATGACACTTCTTTTCTTTTCTTTTTTAAGTGTATGGAAAATGAGTTTTTTGAAGAAGTGTCATCTCACACATTGGGACAGTGTGTGTGTGTGGGGAGACACACACTGCATGATCTGCTCGAAATTATTCCTTAAAAGTTGACTTACTGGAAAGGAGGGACCTTCCCCCCCCCCCCAAAGGACCTCCTCGCCAGTGTTCCCTCTAAGCTGAGTTCGTGTGAGCCAGCTCACAGTTTTTCAGCCTCCGGCTCACAGATTTTTCCCTTAGCTCAGGAAGGAGGGCTTCAGAGCAGTGTTCCCTCTAAGCTGAGTTAGTGTGAGCCAGCTCAGTTTTTCAGCCTCCGGCTCACAGATTTTTGTCTTAGCTCAAGAAGGATGGCTCCAGAGCAGTGTTCCCTCTAAGCTGAGTTAGTGTGAGCTAGGTCACAGTTTTTCAGCCTCCGGCTCACACATTTTTGTCTTAGCTCAGGAAGGATGGCTCCAGAGCAGTGTTCCCTCTAAGCTGAGTTAGTGTGAGCCAGCTCACAGTTTTTCAGCCTCCTGCTCACACATTTCTGCCTTCGCTCAGGAAGGATGACTCCAGAGCAGTGTTCCCTCTAAACTGAGTTAGTGGTGAGCCAGCTCACAGTTTTTCAGCCTCCGGCTCACACATTTTTGCCTTAGCTCAAGAAGGATGGCTCCAGGCAGTGTTCCCTCTAAGCTGAGTTAGTGTGAGCCAGCTCAGTTTTTCAGCCTCCGGCTCACACATTTTTGCCTTCGCTCAGGAAGGATGGCTCCAGAGCAGTGTTCCCTCTAAGGTGAGTTAGTGTGAGCCAGCTCACAGTTTTTCAGCCTCCTGCTCACACATTTCTGCCTTCGCTCAGGAAGGATGACTCCAGAGCACTGTTCCCTCTAAACTGAGTTAGTGGTGAGCCAGCTCACAGTTTTTCAGCCTCCGGCTCACACATTTTTGTCTCCGCTAAGGAAGGATGGCTCCAGAGCAAACTATTTATGCAGCAGCCAAATCGCTTGCTCACAACTTGCACGCCAGTAGCTCACAAAGTAGGATTTTCGCTCAGAAGACTCCACAGCTTAGAGGGAGCATAGCTCCTAGTGTGGATCTTTCTCTCCACTTTCACAACAACTCTGTAAGAGAGACCCTCAAGTCACCCAAGTTTTCAGTTCTGGCATTCAGTAGCATCCGAAAAAAAACTTTATTTCATGCCCTTCCAACAAGGAATGCGGGGAAATGTGCATTGTATTCTTTGTCTCCATCTTTATCCTCACTACAACCCTGTGATGTGGGTTAGGCTGTCAGTGACTACCCCAAAAGTCCATCCAAGGGAGCTTCGTGTCGGAGCAGGGATCTGAACTTGGATCCTCCTGGACTGAGTCCTGGGCAGTGTTCCCTCTAAGATGAGTTAGCGTGAGCTAGCTCAGTTTTTTAGCCCCTGGCTCATGCTTTTTTGTCTTAGCTCACGAAGGATGGCTCCAGAGCAAACTAATTTAGGTAGTAGCCAAATCACCCATTCACAAGATGCCAGTAGCTCACAAACTAGAATTTTTGCTCACAAGACTCCACAGCTTAGAGGGAACGTTGGTCCTGGGTATTACACTGGGACACCACGCAGCATTCATGTGCATGGTGCACAAGTGTAAAGAGTTCAGACATCCACTCACCTCTCACGTTTAATTACAGAGAGATCCAGAGCAATAAAAGCATGGAACATGGCAAGGAGCAGCTCTGAAATCTCACGTTTTTAATGGTTTTCTACCAATTTTTGTTAAATCCCCAGGGGCAAAATAGACACAGTTACAAGGAATAAATAAATATACTTGGAGCATCCCCAGATGCTTTAAAAATGTATGGGCTCACAGCATCATAGACTTTAGATCTGGAAGCCCTACTACTCTAGCTTAATTACCGGATGCAGTAAGAGTGCACTCTTACCATGCTCAGAGTAACATTTGAGCCCAGTGAGATCTTTAAGTACAACAAAGTTTTTAATTCTCCATATAAGCTTTTGTGTGCATGCACACTTCTTCAGATAACCAGAATTAAACTTTGTTGATCTTAAAGGTGCCACTGGGCTCAAACTTTATTCTGTTGCTTCAGGCCAACATGGCTACCTACCTGAATCCATGCTCAGAGTAATTACATTATGGAATTTGTGATCACAAGATTAGTAACAGCCATTCTTATAAGGGGTGTTTGGCTGAATTGTATACCCTGTCGGTTTTATGGCTTTGGTGGTGATTTGATGGGTCTTTGACAATGCTCCCTCTAAGACAGTGGTGTCGAACTCATTTGTTATGAGGGCTGGATTGGACATAAATGAGACCTTGTTGGGCCGGGCCATGTGTGTCATAAAATGTAATGCCAGGTAGCAGATATAAACTTTATAAAGGACACAAACACAAAGATTTTTTTCACTTAAAATAAAAACATGCTTAAAACTCTTGCAATATTTTGTTTATTTAGCAGTATCTGATAACGGACACCTCGTGCTCTGAATTATTGCATCAAAATGTCTGTGCTGTTGCAATCTTGAGTATGCTGTTCAAGTGTGTATCTGTAAGCTGCAAACCTAGTTTTGATTTATCGACATTCACCACAGAAATCTCATGCTCAGAGTTCTGAGTCTAGGACCCAGGTCAAAACATGAAATGGCTGAGCGATTGAGTCTGGTGAAGCAAGCCATGATGCAGCAGCAGCAACAGAACTGGAAGCAGGAGATGGCCAATTCCAGTGTAGGCCTGATAGAAGCCCTCCAGGGCCTGATCCAGCCTCCAGGCCGCATGTTTGACACCCCTGCTCTAAGCTGTGGATTCTTGTGAGCAAAAATTTTACCATGTGAGCTACTGGCATTAAAATTGTGAGCGAGCAGTTTGGCTGCTGTACAAATCAATTTGCTCTGAATTGAACCATCCTTCCTGAGCCAAGACAGAAATGTGTGAGCCGGAGGCTAAAAAACTGTGAGCTAGCTCACACTAACTCAGCTTAGAGGGAACCCTGGTCTTTGACTGTATTAAACATTCGATAGTACCAGCCATTTGAATAAGAAGATATTCATGGAGGACAGGACAACTTAGTTACTGGCCAACATAGAACTTCTGTACATGAGCTGGTATCCAAATAGGAGATATGGTCATGGTCTTGCTTGTGAAGGCCACTGTTGCAAAATATACAAGAACTCCTCCCCTCCCCCAATCTTTGAAATGTATTGTTCCCTGTAAAGATTTTAAGTCTTCTGAAACTTTAATAGTCTGAATCTTTAATAATTCTTCATAAAAAATCATGACTGACATTGAAACACGCAGAGGGAGTTGCTTTAGGAACCATGGCCACTAATACTGACAACCTACAAAGCATGTTTCAACCATTTTGCTTGTCTGCTACTTTATGAAACTTCCTGGGCCTATACCTAAGTAATTACTAAGTAATTCAGAAACAGCTGGTTTCTGAAAACTGCTATTTAGAATCACCAGTCCTTCCTTTGCTGTTAAAACCACATCACATATACCGGTTACTGCCATGCGTTTTAGCCACCTCTCTGTTCAAACTACTGGAGTTGTAAAACTTCCAGATGTAGTGACTGCACCAGGATCTGGGAAACCCAAGTTCGAATTTGGACCACAGAAGCTTGCTGGGTGACCTTGAGCCAGTCGTATACTTGAACTAACCTACCTCAAAGTGTTGCTGTGAGGATAGAGAACAATGTCAGCTGCTTTGGGTCCCCATGGAGAATAAGGGTGGGATATAAATTATGTATATAAAACTGCTCTCCATACCTGAGTTGCTGTAACATCCAAGAGAACACACGTAGAGCTCCTGGGGAAGAGGTCCTAAACGCAACACTGATCTAAATTCATTCTACCCAGACCCCAGATGGATGCAACATTTTCCATCTAAAGGAATTTCTGACGTGTGACTTCCACCAGGTACGTAGCACACGAAGCTACTGCTTTTATTAGGCCACTTAATAAAGGCAGAACTATTTTTTTTGCTTTCCCCCCTTTCTACAATTTAGGTTCTTAAGGTAATGGACTGATAAGGCAGAATTAATTCCCACTCTAAGATGATGGGCAGGGTTGCATGTGTATGTGGCTCATTTGATTTAACCAGCACTTTCTGGCAGTTGAATAAACAGACTCCACTGAAAACGACTGTATTTTTAGATGACATCAGGTTCTATGAAAGTTTGATTTATGGTATTTAGTCAGCCATGTGCATTTGAGAGCCAGTTTGGTGTAGTAGTTAGGAGCACGGACTCTAATCTGGGAGAACCAGGTCCCCCACTCCTCATGCAGCTGCTGGTGTGACCTTGGGTCAGTCACAAGTTCTGTCAGAGCTGTTCTCTCAGCAGCAGTCCTTGAAGGAGCTCTCTCAGCCCCACCTACTTCACAGGGTGTCTTTTGTGGGGAGGGGAAGGGAAAGGAGATCGTAAACCACTCTGAGTGAAGGGTGGGGTCTAAATCCAATCTCTTCTCTTCATCCTCTCTTCATTGTCACTTGATCTCACAGTCAAGTGAGGAACATGGAAATATGAACAAGCCAACAGCAACTGTGGTCACAAGTGTATTTGTGATCAGTATTTGTGAATTTCCTGCGTTGTGCAGGGGGTTAGACTAGATGGCTCCGGAGATCCCTTCCAACTATATGATTCTCAGTATTTAGCACCAACAGTCATAGATATAACAAGCAGATTATTCCAAATGACTCTCATGACCCAAGAAGCACTGTGTGTCTCTCATGAACTTCAGTATATCACACATCCTGTATGTAAATTTAGAAGCATCTATTTGTTACCCATTCATAAATCCCTACCGAAAGTGAGACCTAATTCTTTAATTTGGTCATCCTCACAGGCAATCTGACATCCCTTACAATTGGTTTAACATGTACTGACCTGACTTGTAGGTTTTAAGAGTTTCAGGCCAAACCTAAAAAAATATCTTACAGCTGTGATTACAGCTTCTGTAATCTTTTTTTTAAATGAGCTTAAAAAGCTACAGTAAGAGGT